CTAAATATATATATATATATATATATATATATATATAATATATATATATATATCATATATAATGATTTTTGGTTTCTGGTTGTTGTGGGTTTTTTTCCTATATGAATATGCCAATAGTGTAAATTTTACTACAAAAAAAGTCATGTTTACCTGTTAGAATCTGAACCTTTTTATTTACCAGACTGTGGCGGAACACAACAATACGTACCGTCCAGACGTATGACGATGTGCCCACGTCTTACGTCAACTCAAAATCGAAGTAGATTTCTCCAGGCGTACACTCTTTATTTTCTGTATTGCAATAAACATTTTTGTACGTAAATTCTTAAACACGGTATGTTTGAAACCGCTGCGGCCTGCCGCTGTAAAGGAATACCCTTAAGGAACACCACGTATGGGATCGAAATCTACGCTTCTTTCAGCTAAGCTAACCGTTATTGCATCTATTAGCAAAACTCGCTAGCTAAGAAGCTAGCGCTAGCTGTTAGCTATCCTACCCTTACCGTCGAGCTAGCTATGCATTAGCAATTTAGCCTAGCTCGCTAACCAGTGACAACTGACAAAGGTAAACAACAAACCTTTTGAGTGCATTTTTTGTAAATCTCCACTCTTATAACTTTATCTTGTTAATGAGCTACAACCTGATGTCGATTTAAACTGCGTTTCAAACGTCCCTGTTTGTACCGCTAAGATTGAAGTACGAAGCGAGAAAAGGGGCAGCAACAGCGTCAACGAAAAACAATACAAATCCCGAATCCCTCATCACCGACTAGGCCAACCGAGCTAACTCTGGCTAACCGCTATATAATGCTAGGCTGCCGGGTGTAATGTTAGCTCATTTTCAAGTTAATAAACCTCGCAGGATAATCACAACATCAGTCTGCTGACCGGAGCTCTTAGCCAGACACTCAGTTTGTCCTTAAATCAAAAGTATAGCTGTTAATGTTACAGTGCTACCATTTGCAGTGTTGCAGTAAGTAGTTTTGACATGTAACGTTACCTATTGAAGTAAGTATGTAGCAGATAAACTGTGTATTATAAGTAGCTGTTGAAATTACTGGGCACCAATGACAGCCCTTGTTCTCAAGATTGCAGCCTATTTCAGTGTTATGCGTTAAGCATTACTCTATGTTATTGGCCTGGGCTGTTATCCTGTGTATAACATGTTTGGCACACCTTTTGCGAATGACTTGCGGCTTCTCAGTTCCATAAAATAATAAACAGAATAGCCTTGTGTTTTGATTCAACATTATAGGGTTAGGGTTGGAAACATGGTAGTCATTTTTCCTCATTTCTGAGACTAGTGGTAGACTAGGACTAGGTAACTGGTTACTCAGTTACAAGCCAAGGAAAATCAGATTTTTTATATATATTTATATATATATCATATATAATGATTTTTGGTTTCTGGTTGTTGTGGGTTTTTTTCCTATATGAATATGCCCATAGTGTAGTAAATTTTTACTACAAAAAAAGTCATGTTTACCTGTTAGAATCTGAACCTTTTTATTTACCAGACTGTGGGCGGAACACAACAATACGTACCGTCCAGACGTATGACGATGTGCCCACGTCTTACGTCAACTCAAAATCGAAGTAGATTTCTCCAGGCGTACACTCTTTATTTTCTGTATTGCAATAAACATTTTTGTACGTAAATTCTTAAACACGGTATGTTTGAAACCGCTGCGGCCTGCCGCTGTAAAGGAATACCCTTAAGGAACACCACGTATGGGATCGAAATCTACGCTTCTTTCAGCTAAGCTAACGTTATTGCATCTATTAGCAAAACTCGCTAGCTAAGAAGCTAGCGCTAGCTGTTAGCTATCCTACCCTACCGTCGAGCTAGCTATGCATTAGCAATTTAGCCTAGCTCGCTAACCAGTGACAACTGACAAAGGTAAACAACAAACCTTTTGAGTGCATTTTTTGTAAATCTCCACTCTTATAACTTTATCTTGTTAATGAGCTACAACCTGATGTCGATTAAAACTGCGTTTCAACGTCCCTGTTTGTACCGCTAAGATTGAAGTACGAAGCGGAGAAAAGGGGCAGCAACAGCGTCAACGAAAAACAATACAAATCCCGAATCCCTCATCACCGACTAGGCCAACCGAGCTAACTCTGGCTAACCGCTATATAATGCTAGGCTGCCGGGTGTAATGTTAGCTCATTTCAAGTTAATAAACCTCGCAGGGATAATCACAACATCAGTCTGCTGACCGGAGCTCTTAGCCAGACACTCAGGTTTGTCCTTAAATCAAAAGTATAGCTGTTAATGTTACAGGTGCTACCATTTGCAGTGTTGGCAGTAAGTAGTTTTGACATGTAACGTTACCTATGAAGTAAGTATGTAGCAGATAAACTGTGTATTATAAGTAGCTGTTGAAATTACTGGGCACCAATGACAGCCCTTGTTCTCAAGATTGCAGCCTATTTCAGTGTTATGCGTTAAGCATTACTCTATGTTATTGGCCTGGGCTGTTATCCTGTGTATAACATGTTTGGCACACCTTTTGCGAATGACTTGCGCCTTTATCATTATAGTATAACTCAAGCAGCAAGAGCAATATTGGCAATAGTCTCTGTGAAGTGATAAAGTTTAAGTAAAGTATAAGTAAAAGGTTATGTAAGTCCTTACATTAACTTTGACATTTCTCTTATCTCACTTTATTGTGAACCTATCAGAGGGATTATACACATTGAGTCCCTTTTGTAACTATAGGAAAGTTATAAAACTCCAGTTGTCATTCATTGAATGTCATAATTAGTTGAAGCAGTCTGTTCATCATGTAATGACTGGGTGTGCCATCATCTCTTATGAATGTAATATCCATGTACCTTCAGTTTAAAAGATCAGACTCCCACAGTTAGTTCAGTTTTTCACTCACCTAAGCTGATGATCCATCTCCATCATCAAACAAAATCACAACTCCTTTGTTTGCAGCTCTGGGGCAGAAAACTCTGTGTCCCCAAATATTAACAAAACTGTCATCGGCTAACAGGGAGCCCATGTTCCAATATTAAATCTGACAGACTTGATTTGTCAAAGCACTCATCTTCACATATAAAAATGTGATTGGTGTGATAGTGAATGCAGTAAAATTAAAAAAGCCAAACTAATTTGGAAAGGATGTATACTGAATAACTATTGGGTTGGTTAAGATTTTAAAATTGAAGAAAACATTTTGTGAATTCGGACCTAAGGTTTCTCTCTTTGTCTTTTTGTTGATTTAATAGGGCGCGGATGATGTGATCCTGAACACGCAAGAGTGAATAAAAAGATTTTCCTGTTTGTGTCATTACCAACTACAATTGACACACACTTTCAGCCTCACTTCATAAAACAACTTCTCAATAATCCACACGGCATCCCTGTCTGCAGTTCTTTGTGCACCTGAACCATGTGAGGGCCCCTCGGTCCAGTCTGAGGGGATCCCAGGACTGTTGCAAATACGACCCCGCTGTGCGGGGCGAGACTGATCCTATCTGTGTTTGAGAGAGCAGTCTTTCCAGTAGCCCCCTCCTCATCAACACATTCCTGTTCTCCTTACTGAGGAGACACGCCATGATGTTCCGAGACCAGGTAGGTATCCTCACAGATTGGTTCAAAGGCTGGAATGAGTGTGAACAGACGGTGGCACTGTTGTCCCTCCTGAAGAGGGTGTCCCGCACCCAGGCTCGCTTCTTACACATCTGCCTTGAACACTGGCTGGCAGACTGCACAGAGATCCACATCCTTGAAGCTGAGGCCAACAATGCAGGTAGCTGAGAGTTTTATGAGCCTTTTGTGCTGTGCTGTCAGTTATCTCTTAGTATGAAAGACTGCTAGGTATATCTTTTTCTACAATTGGAGATAGCTTATATTAAATCAGTAATAAAAGATTAATCACTGGTGAAATTCTCTGTTTTCCCATTGTCATTAGCAATTGTCAGCAAATGGCATCAGGAGCCAAAGGAGAAAGTAGTGTCCTTGCTGCTGTCACATCTGCCTCTGCTGCAGCCTCGCAACAGCGAGGCCAAGTGTGAGTATATGAAGCTGCTGCAGAAGGTGTTGAGTCACACTATTGAGAGTAGCCTGTTTGTGGAAGAAAGCAGACAGCTGCTTTCCTATGCTCTCATCCACCCTGCCACTACACTGGATGACCGCACCTCTCTGGCCATGTGGCTAAACCACCTGGAGGAGCACCTATCCAGTGGCTATGCACCCCGGGCCCCATCCAGCCCCTACCACCCACGCCAGGGCTCAGATGAATGGCCCAGCTCGGCTGAGGCTCTGGACCCTGGCCTTGGCTGGCATGACAAGTCTCCATCGTCCAGCACATCTCCAGCAGGCCAGAACGGACACATGCCATTCCCAGGCGGGATGTCCTCTCCCATTAACAGCAATAACACAGGTGATGTTTCTCATTCACCTATTATTTTTTAAAATGGGGAGAAAGTGCAGACAGGAAATAGTTTGGTACGACTGACTGTATATATGAGACCATTGTGGACATAACACCCATATTATGCAAATAGGGAGCATTTAGTTAAAGTGTTAGTGTCAGAATGTAATTTCAGTTTTTCCTCATACCTGGATTGTTTCCCTTGCCAGGTCTGGGTGGGCAGATGCAGCCCAGCCCTCTGAAGAAGTCCATGTCCGTTATTCCTTCCAGTCCCCAGGCTTGTGGCTCTGAGTGGGTGAGCCAAGATGATGCAGGTGGCCGGCAGAACTTCATTCCAACAGACCATGCACCCCTTTCACCACAGAGCAGCGTAGCCTCCTCAGGCAGTGAGCAGACAGAAGAACAGGGCTCCACTCGCAACACTTTCCAGGAGGATGGCAGTGGCATGAAAGGTCAGAGTTCATTACCTATCCGAGCCAAGGGCACTCATGGCATTTGGCTCTGGTAAAAGCCGTGCACAGCCAACAGCTGTGATGATATAATCCAAAATGTAACATGACTTGCAATGTGTTTGTTCTAGATGTTCCTGCATGGTTGAAAAGTCTCCGCCTTCATAAATATGCATCGCTTTTCTCCCAGATGACCTATGAGGAGATGATGATTCTCACAGAGCAGCACCTGGAGTCGCAGGTTTTTAAGCCTCCCTTTATACACACTTGGGCAGGGCTTTGACTATTTCACCCTCCTTATCAATCGTGAACATTACTGTCCTCAAACCTGATGATACATCAACTCTCAATGAGGCATGAAATTAAGCACCGCACCCTACAGTTATATCAAGCCAGTCACACATACAAACGGCGTGATTTTGCCTTTGCCCCTTGGCTTTAATGAAACAGATGGTGATTAGCTTTGTTATTTAGTAACTGTATAAATTGCCCAGTGTTCCCACAAGAAATGACTTGCCTGCGTCTCATGCCATCTTGTTATTTCCTATCTCTCCTTTTTAGAATGTCACTAAAGGAGCACGGCATAAGATTGCCTTGAGTATCCAGAAACTGCGAGAGAGACAGAGTGTGCTCAAGTCTTTAGAAAAGGTAATTCAAATGGGATGATGATGTTCTTCTTGTACTAAAAATGGGGCAATAGTGTTTTGTCCTGATGATTTTTCAGTCGTACTGATAAAAAATGGACTTGAGTATGTATTCGTTGATGATCATGTGACACTTTTCCATTGGGAAATCCCCATTCTTCTTTTGGCACAGAAACAGACATGGAGCAGAGCTGTTAAGAATGCAATACATTCCTCTAAGACATTTAAGGCGGGGAAATGTTTGTTCTTAAAGCTTAAATCCAGATTTACAGTTTGGATATTTTCCTCTCTACTCTACAATATCAGCCATGCGCTCAAATTGTACCTCTCTGAATAGCTTATACAGCATGTGACACTGAGCTTGTCTCTTGTCAGGATATTTTGGAAGGAGGAAACCTTCGTAACGCCCTTCAGGAGCTGCAGCAGATCATCATCACACCTATTAAGGCCTACAGCCCACCCAGTACAGCACAGCCTGCCTTGGACACTGCCTCCTCCCCGTCAGAAGCCACAAAAACAGGAGCAGATAAAGAGCCAGGCTCAGAGGGCTTCCAGTCCCACAACCCACCTCCCTGTGATGGAGACTCCTCAGCCACACCCATCTCAGACGGCGATATTGCTGGACAGTTCACCCGTGTCATGGGCAAAGGTAAGAGAATATGATGGTTTTTTTTTTGTTTTTTTTTTTTTAATTCCTGATAAGACAGTGTACAGTGTAACAAAATACTGTATTAAAAATGATTTAGACATTTTATGTCAATGTCAATATTCAACATAAAACACATAGATACTTAATAACTTATCTACATTTATATCTATATATACATATCTTTATATACACATACCCTCATATATACAAATCCACAGATATCCCTCTGATCAAAATGGACACAAATATATAAACCCTGGCTTTTTTTTTTTTTTCACGCAGTGTGCACCCAGCTGCTCGTCTCCAGGCCAGATGAGGAGAATATAAGCTGTTACCTTCAGCTCATTGAGAAATGTCTGACACATGAGGTGAGAACCTGCACGTTAATTATTTTAAGTGGTGAATATATTTAATGATATTACAGTGTCGTAAATATCTTATAGCGCCAAAAGTTATACCTTTAATAATACCTTAAAAATATGAAAAAATAATATTATCATATAGACAAATGCACATGAATTGTTAATAAGAGAGAATCTTCTAGTCATCTCTAGCTTTTTTGGCTTGACTGCTACAGCAGGACCAGCCCTATAAACACAAATGTCCATGACTGACTGACTGATGGAGTGACACCATTGGTTACCCAAGTGCCGTTTGAGTCATAAGGTTACACCATTGGTCTGCTGGCCAGGTGTTGGAGTTTCCTCATTAGTCGCGAACTAGCAGTGTTGCAGTCCTGATTTCATGCAGCAAATCTGAAGAGCAGAGAAGGACAATCATAACAGGGCTACAGAGAATAGGATTGGAGTGGAGTGGAGACCGGGATTAAAGATGTGCAACCGGACTAATTACAAGATTGTAATGGATAATTCAACCAGAAGGAGGCAGTGATAGCAGTAATGCAACATAATGGACGCCAACTGTCATAAAACCCTAAACAAGAAGAAGAAGCAGTGTTGCCAACTTAGTGCCTTTGTCACTAGATCTCCCGACTTTCCCGACCCTTTTACAGAGTTTTTTCAAAAAAGCACATAGCGACAAATCCGGCAGCTTTTTGGACAAACCTTAGTGACTTTCCAGAGAAGGGTGTCGCCAGTACTGTTCTTTGAGTATGAGGTCGGCCTCCGCAGACACACCTCTCTATGCTGACAGCATGGCAGCTGATGTGAATGAGCTTCTAGCGTTTTCTCTGAGTGATCAGTTTACAAGTAAATATAGCTGAAATCACAGCACAGCTGTTGTCTTTAACTCGTTCTTTGTAATTTTGACAGACTATGTCAAGGTTTTAAAATCAGGGTTTTAGCAGTGCACAGAAGCAGCTTGGAAATGACTGCTGGTTAACATGTAGTCTTAATGTGCTGCAAAAACATAAATGAGAGCATCTTTATTGGGAGTTCAGCTGTATTAAAATACTGTATATGTGAACACAGAGTAGAAGAGAAGCAAACACATAAAAGCCTGAAACCAGCTGACACTAGGTTGAATGCAAATAGCCTACAACGCGGTCCAGTCATATACTTGTTTCTTGAAATGAAGAATGAAACTAACCTTCTGGTTTTGAAAATCACAAATTTCAGGGTATCTCTGTGGCTCACCTGGTAGAGCGTGTACCACATGGACTTAGTCCTTACTTCAGCGGTCATGGGTTTGAATCCAACCCACGGCCATTTGCTGCATGTCATTCCTTCACTCTCTCCCTGACTTTCCTATCTAGCTCTCACTGTACTATCAAATAAAGGCAAAAAAAAAAAATGCCCAAAAATATAACTTAAAAAAGAAAAATCACAAATTTCAAAACCATCTCCCGAAACCCTACTAATGCTCTTTGAAAGCTGATGCCTTTTTTTTCTCTCTGGTCCTTTTCTCTCTCTGTCAGGCTTTCACAGAAACTCACAAGAAAAGGCTGGTCTCCTGGAAGCAGCAGGTCCTCAAACTGCTCCGCCTGTTCCCTCGGAAAGCTATGCTGGACATGCCAGTGTACCGACAGAAAGGGTAAGACTCTGCTGGTCTTCCATTACCTTTGATCTCCCTATTTAGCGAAGACGGTGTCACACCAGATGAATGTCTCCCTGCACTTATATCTCCCTTCCCTTTTCTCTTTCACTTTCTCTACCTTATTTAAATAATTAGTCATTTCATATGAAATAGTTTCAGCAGTTGAACAGACTTATCACTGATTTCTGATGTATGTTCCTTTTTGTTTTGTTTGTTTTTTAATTTTTTTTAAATTTTTTACTCCAGCTGGACGTACGGGTCCAACTCCCTCCCCACAGCAGGCTCTGTGAGTGGAGGTGTAGGGCGAAGAGGGCAAAGGCAGTTCCAGATGACTCCTCGTGGACTTCCAGCCGGGCGCATAAGTCTTCTGAGTCCCGGTGGGATCGGGGGAGCATCTCCACGCCACACACTCACTAATCCTGTGCTGGCAGGCCAGGGTAGACAAGTTAGTATTCCTGTCATTGGATGGGCATTTTAATGCCAGTTTGTGACATGAAGCTTTCTGTAAATTGCGGACAAAATGGATTGTATTTATCAGTTATGTCAGTTTTTTTTGTCTTAAGAGATATTTGATTTTTTTTTTTTGTACTAAAAGCTGACTGCACAGCCAAAACTAGTTATTTAGAATAATTGAACCTGACTATATCTTTTCTCTTCAAGACTTTTTAGCACAAGTTTGTGTTTTGAGTTTTTCTTCAATATTTCTTTATCACTATACCTGAAGGTATTGACCCACATATTGGAATGCTCAAGGAGTCATAATACACCTTAGTAAACATTTACATTGAAAGTAAAAGAAGTGAAAAACGAAATGCCTTGGTAGTTTAATCAGCACTCACAAGGCAGTGCAAGGGGTTAGGCAGCATATGTTGATACAAATTGATTCATTATCATAGCTTAAAGAGTTTTTGCTTCAGGATTTAGCCAAAAGAAAAACAAACCAGAGTCAGTGGGAATCATTTAATGAGAAAATGTGTTTTCTTCTATAGAATTTGTGGTTTGCCAACCCTGGGGGCAGTAACAGCATGCCAAGTCAGAGTCGTAGCTCTGTACAACGGACCCACTCACTCCCTGTCCACACATCCCCGCAAACCATGCTCATGTTCCAGCAGCAAGGTATTGTGTGAGGTCATGCCTCTTTGATTCTTCATTAACATGGGTGTATGCTCTCACCCACAGCCTATCTCTGTCCTTGCTAACATTTTGACATACTTTATTCTTTGACAAAAGGTAATTACAACTGTCAGTCTTGCCTCCCTTAATCTCCTGTTTACATTTCAAGTATTACCTACATATTGCTCATCAAGAACTCCTTTTATTTTCAAAGTTAAATTATTCTTTTCAAGCTAAACTGGAAATGTTTTTTTTGGAAGTGGCAGATTTGTTTCTGATATTGAGTTTTGCAAGCTATATAAACTACACAACTGGGGAAAAAATAGCCATTTGGTCTGATGCCAAACTAGAGGGCTGCTCTCTCTCTGTGCCAAGGACAAAATAACAAGACAGCTTAGCGGCATGTTGCAGTAAACAATCAGTCACCTCAAACAATATACTTAACCTTTTGGTTGCTTCGTCTCATGTGCCAGACGCCACACACGAGCATTGCCAATTCCTCTATAATAATTTTGTCATGTTTTAACGGAATTGATGTAAATGTTTTCCATAACAGAATAGTGTGAAACCCAAAAATTCATAACTTTAACTGGCCAGCCACATATTGTTATAAATTCCATGCCTTAAAGGGAATGTATATCATACTATTGTTTTTAAAATAATTTTACCGAAATCCCAGTTTGGATATTTGCTGTGTTTTAAAGAAACGATAGTTTAATGTTATTCATTCTCAAATTAAACTTAAAAAAAGACCATGGAGACCATAAGTTTCTCCTAAATCATTATACATGAGTCATAACTGTGTGTGAACAGTATCACTAAAGTGTTAGCTTGTACAGTTCACGGTATGCTGTTTCAACATTCATGGTTAATGCAGTGACTGCTAAAAAGGGATGAAAAGCATTGGTGTCTTTTTACCAACCAGGCTACCTCTGATATGGTGTTTTGCTTATTACACCTTTCTCCGTAAACAGTGCTTCAGTTACTAGAAATGACATGTCTAGCACCTACACGACATGCTATGTTACACCTTGTCAAGTGTATTATTTTGCTGATTGTTTTAACTTCAAAATTACAACAAAAATGTAATACTTTGCTTCTTTTCTAACTTTTAATATGCATTTTATATTGCACACATAAATGGATTGTTAAAACTGATTTTTAGGAATCATTTCATAGTAATATATAGAATCCACCATAGACCTTCACCTCAAGTTATCTTGAGGTGAGGTGAATCTTCTTTATAGAGATAAGGATTACAGAAATATCTCACCTTTCTAGGTTTACTGTAACAGATCATAGAAAACCAAGGAATCAAACATACATACATGTACAGAGACCACATACCACATACATACATGTACAGAGACCACATACAACAAATTAGGCAAGAACTGGAGGGAGTTCAGTATTAAAAGATGTGTTCCTCAATAAAGAGACAAAAGTATTATAAGAGTTTATTCTTCTGGGTACTCCAAACAATCCAAAATTAAAGCTGTGTAGGCATCACTCGTCACTGCACAGTCTTGCAGCTGAATATAAGGACTTCACGCTCAAATGGTCATCGCTGGCCTGTGTACTGTGAATTCACTTTGAAGCTCACTCACACTCTGTCCCTCCTCAGACCAGTATTACATATCATATCTGCATCCACTTGAGACAGATTGCAGTTTACGCCTGACATCAGAATACATCTCAAGTGTGTCCTGAGTGGTCACATTTTGGTTTGTAAACAAGTGAAATATAAGATATGACTCATACTAGGCAAAGGAATACACACTTGACTTTATCCATAGAACTCGGGAAGAGGATTGCAGAGGCAATCTAGTACCCTTCCTCAGTGAATTGTCTCACCCACTTACATGAACAGATTACATACATTTAAATTTAAACTCAACTTTTATTTATTCGTTATTATATAGTTTTTATATAGTCACATGGTGAAAATAATTTCGCCCTTTGGTTTTGTTTGCTTTGGCTTGAATTTAGTCAAACAGATTATCAGGTCATTCATTGGTTAATGGCATGTTTCAGCAGTAGTTATGTGGCTGAGTCTGTTCCTGGCACTCAGGGGCATCTTATAGATGTACTGTTACCATAGCATTTTCATTTAACATAAAGAAATATTTAAATATAAAAATTTTAAGAATTCTATTTGTCTGTGAGTGTGACACACTTTGTGCACTTTTTACTGGGCTCTTATTTTTGGAGTTTTGACTATGATTTTTCGGGTTATAACATTTTTGAAGCTTAAAGCTGCACCATTGCTGGTACACTCACTTCACAACCGAGTCCATTGTAATAAGCGACTCAAGTAATCAGAAGATGAAACACTTTCAAACTAAAATCAATCATTCAAATTTAATTCAAAATGAAGCTAAACGTAGCTAAAAGGTTCATTATAGTGTGTTGTAAAACTGTGCAAAGCTGAAATAAGAATTAACTGCAAACTCTAAAAGACATTAACAACAGAGTTGAATAATGACTTAACATTCAATAATGTTTTCACCTCCAATTAATTGGATTACAGTTATCTGTACACAGTAAAATGTGCCAAAGGTTTTGTGAGCATTCCTATGTCAGCCCAGTAGCCAATAAATAATATGGTTAAGCTGTATACTATTAACGGTCGCTTGTAGTTTTTGCTGTGTCAGCACAATTGGATTTGATTCATCCTTAGCAGATTTATCATGTTAAATTTTGTTTGTTTTTTTGGGCTAATGGTACAGCTACTCAGTGCATTTAGTATCAGTCACCTTGTTCTTATTATCAGGCCAACAAATTATCTGAACTTCACATTACCATAATGATAGCTATTCTTTAGCACACATAAAGTGGTAATTTTTCCCTCAAACCAGATAAAGCATACTTGTGTCTTGATAATGGAAACTGTTCTTTTCCAAGTGAAATTGGCAAATTAATCCTCTGCGGACATTATCTATTAAGAGCAAAATATACTGGTGCTTTTGTAAATTTAGAGCGAGAAGAAAAACAGACTTTATGGCAATCCTCACAGTAATTTAAACCTTAATCTTCCTTTGGACTAAACTGTTTTTACTCATTCCCTCAGAATGCCAAGTTCCAGGTGCTGACCTGGAGATCAACCCCACGCTGGAGTCACTGTGCCTCAGTATGACAGAGCATGCCTTAGGGGGTAAGTGTCCTCAACAGCCCAGTACTAAATAGGCCACTCACTGTTAGACCTCACACAACTGACAACTATACAACAGCACCTTATTATATTATTATAACAAGGCAGTGAGAGAAAAGGTTTTATGAGCAGGCTGTGTCCATCGGGGAAAACAGTACATACTAATTTGTTCACACACATGCCCTACGCAAACAGAGATGAAAAAAATGTTGATTTTCATAATTCACATTTCCTATTTGTGTATTAATATTTAATAACATCTGACTTATACAATATAATTAGTCAAGTCACAGGCAGGTTCCCCTTGCAGAGAGAGAAAGGCGCAGAGATACCTCTGTGCTTTGTACTGTATGGTGTACTTGAATGACAAGATTTGCACCATCATGTCAAACAAGCTCAAGGCTCAGTAGCTCTGTATTATTTTTCCTGAGTATTATGTGACTTCTAGACAGGTATTCCTGTTGCATGAATTTTTGAGTTAGATGGAATTTGGGGAATTTAAACTATTTTCCTTCCTTTCCCAGAGACACATTAGGTTATTGATGTCTTTTTGTGTCCATGTGTACAGTTTGAAAGTACATAACCAGTCAAAAGTTTAAGAACGCCCCCATTTTCCAGTCTTGATTGAAATTCCAGCAGTTTGACTCCAGCGAATAACCTTTAATGGTATAATAGGTAAGCTATAAAAAAAAGAAAAAAAGAAAAAGTTTTTCACTGAAAAACCAGGTTAAGTTTTCCTGCAGCAATCGAAGTAAATGAAGTCTTTGAAAGTTAATGCAAACAATTCCTACAGGTGCTCCAACTTCTGTTGATGATTTACAAACCCTTTGTCTTTACAAAGCCAGTGTTGGAAAAAACTGTGTTACTACACTCTCTGATGCATTATTAGAAAAATACTGTACTGCAGGAAGTAGTACTCTGTAGTGCTATCAGTAACAAAGGAAGACAGACTTGTTGGTGGGGGGTTCATCCTACAGCGAGATAGTGACCCAAAACAAGAAGAAAAGAACGAGACAGTGTCTTCACATGATGAAAGAGCAGCACAGTCTCCAGACTTCAACCCCATCCAGCTGGTTTGGGATGAACTGGACAGAAGGTGAAAGCAAAGCAAACTACAAGTGCAACACATTAGTGGAAACATCTACAACAGTATTTTATTTCCATTGTAGAAAGAACATCTTGAGGAGTGTGTTCATCTGCTGGATGAGTCAAAAATTTAGATTGAATTTAGTTCAACAAGAAGATTCCGTGATTCCTTGTTTTTAAAATCCCAAATTGTGCATTTGTTCTATGTATCAAATTTCAGAAACACTGAATTCACATTGAATAATGTAAATTTTAAATTAAAAAAACATTTTTAGCTATTCTAAAACTTTTGACCAGTAGTGTAAGTTTAGCCTGGTTTAGCTTATTTTCTGGGTTAGTAGAAAATGCAGTGTGCGTTTACTTAATTCGCTGTTTCACTGTTAAAGGGAAATTACATATAATCAAACATCCTGTGGGCTTTTGATGAAAGGTATTGTCAGGATATTGTACATACTTTCATTCAGCTGCAAGGTGCATTTTTCCAGCTTGTAGAAGGAGCTGTTATTAATCCAGAAATGTATCTACTAAATATAGGATGTGCTAAATTCAATGGCAGGCATACCATAAAAATCTATGAAAGGTATGCAATGAATATAAAGATTAATGGACACATAAGAAGGCATCGATAGCTTTTTCTGCCCATGGGAAAGGAGGAAAAGTAGTAGCACTCTTCAATAGTGAGCTACCCTTTCAAGGATGAAATGTGAATGGTGCCATATATTTTATGATTACAAATGTCTTGAATCGTGTTTCTTTCCTATCTCCTCCACAGATGGAACAGACCGGACATCAACAATATGAACAGAAGAAAGGAAAAATACACTTCAGTTGAGGCCTGTTCAGTTCCTCATCACCCAGCACAAAGATATACGTATGCTTAAGAAAACCAGGCAAAGCAGTCACTACAAAATGACAAAAAAACTGTGTATATGTTCTCTAATATTTTTGTACTTTATTATATACAACTAAGTTTATTAAAAATGGAATACAGATGATTATTATATTGCAGGACAGAGAAAAAAAAGGTTAACTGTGCAAACTGCTCCATGTCACCTGCAGGACTGTGACATGATGTGCAGAGGCTCAGTTTGCCGTGGTCTGAGAGAAAAATGGTGGATTGGTGCTGTCTTAAAGGGGTTCTGCCCTATGAGTTACTCTTCTTTTCCTCCTGCCATGGAGCAAGGCTTTCTATCCAGAACACGCCGACAGCCACAGCCCCTGCACCACATAATGTGTAGATTCAGAAAATTTCCAGCCAAAAGTAAGGCACTTTTATTAAATTATCTCTAATATTAGGCACTAAACCGTAATTGGCCCGGGGATACATTCGATGAAAGGTTCCACTTGTAGACAGGTGTTGATATACCGACACCAATACACTTCCTAGCAACCCGAATTGTTCTATAACCAGTGCTAGTGAGAGCTTGTCTTGGTTGAAACTTGGACTCCTTTCCTTGGTTCTTTTTATCCTCTCTAGAGAAACTGGTTTTTGCGGCAAAGGTAAGAAAGGGAGGACCAAAAGGATTGAGAAAAAGCTTGTAATTCAACTGGAGGCATACCTGTTGTCTTGGTTGTTTTCCCTGAACACGTAGTTAAAGTAGAAGTGACTGTCCTCCTCTAAACTTCTACAAAGCCAAAGAGAAGGGTTGTACGATTGTTAATTTGAGAAGGATATTTGTAGTGAAATGCAACAGAATGGTATACTTTTGTAAAAAGAACAGCAGTTTGAAGAATTTATGCCAGCTGCAATTTGTCTCTGTTATTTTATGCCCTACTACAAATGATGATGAATCTCATTTTGTGCCGAGGAATCCCCAGAGGGGTGAATAAGGGCTGGTGTGGTTTGTACTGTGCAAGAGCTGATTTGATATTGCATTGATAAAAGCAAGGAGGGTAGAGTGTTTTCAATTTACACTAATGCCGGGTGAGAAAACTAAATGAAACCCATTTCAACCCTCTGGCCCCCTTATGATTGGCTCTGGAAAATGAAGCTTGATCTTCTAATAAATGCTCCAGAGCGCAGCGCCCTCATCCTCACAGTGCCCTCTTCCTCAAACGGCCAATGTGATGATTTGATGAATCATACTTTTCAAGGTGCTTGACTATGTCCATATTTTCTGTTTGTGTCTCAATGTGTTTCAGTCTCAGAACCCTAACATTATCATGTGGTATCAGTGTTGAATCAAAAACAGTCTTATACAGCCTCTGTCTTTGAATGTGGCAGAGCGGAGGTGCATGTATGTGTAATATGGTCTTAACTTTTGGATCACTTTTGGTTGCATCATAAGGCAGGGATAACCATTCACATTTTATTTAAGCAGAGCCATAGGAGGTCTGTCTAGTAAAGATGGTTATTTACAGATATCTTTTCCAATTGTATTTTTTACTCTCCCTTGATATTGATAACTTATGCTTATTTTCTATAATCGCATGTTTTGCCACACTAATACAGCACTGTTGTAGATAGAGGACATGGTGGTTGATGGTGCCCAGTGTCACCAACAGCTAGAGAGCAGAAATCTTGCAACTAATGTTGTATGTTTATATCGCCTAAATGTCACTGTTTACATCTCTCTGGGATAATGCCCAATTCATGTTATGTGATGTCATGAATACTCCATTGTCTCACTATGTAACACATTAAAGAACTGAAGCCTTCTCGCACATGAGCTGGCTGGGTAGAGCCTGAAAACAGAAGCCTTCTACCCCTTACTCCATGGACTCCATATGAGTCTCAGTAGATTTTTCAAGTGATAACTGTATGACGCATGTAACACCTGCTTTTTCTGGTCATGCAGTGATGAGAGAGAGTAGCTTTCCTGACCTTGTGATTGAACTGTTAGCTGTCATGTCCTGATAAACTGTTCATGTGGTGCCTGAAATGCACAGCTCCAGTATCCTCAACAAGTTGATTTAATGGTCTTGAGTAGTATTCTAGTCATGGATTTCTTCAGAGCAGGCTCTTGGATAGATCTGACTTACTAAAAAAGCATCACACTCATGCCCGCAAAGGACTTCAGTGAGTTAGCAATGCTGACAACTTTAAGATCTTATTTTTAGCTATTCACTATACTGTATATCAATTGTGTTATGTTACAAATGGCTCAGATTATCCTTTTCATAGCCTCTGTAGCTTTGGACAGCCTACACATAACTGCAAATAGACACAGAGGTACAATGCAATGTGTCTGTGCATAATGAAGATGCAGCAGGGGATGACAATGCTTATCTGAGCCACAAATGATGTGATTATGAGTAAACTGAACACTAATAACAGGCCAAGGAATATGTTTACTCCATGTTTACATTCCAGTGATGCATGAAATGAGTTGGGAAATGCACTTCATAAGTTCAACCGGGTGTATTTTTTACATACCAAGCATCCACTAGGAGGTACAGAGCCTGTGTCATATGGAGACTTCTACCAAGTGGTCCTGAGATCATGTTAATGTCCCTGCCAGGCTTAATTATTGAATTCATGCAGCCAGCTGTAGGCTACATTGCATATATTTGTCTTGTACAATTTATATTTAATTCTGATGACTCCCAAGACATTTTCTAATATTTTATGAACCTTTTGCATCCCATGCTTACACTCTACTTTTTTACTGTCACTCATATGTGTGAATGGTCTGAAGTGCAGCATCCGTCGGATCACTGACAGTCCAAATAAAGAGGTTCAGTTCTTTTGCAACTTCACTTGTGGTTTGTGTTTGTGTCTACTTACTTTCTACACATTAGACACGCCTTTTAACAGCTGTCATTTTTTATTGCTCTCGTTTGTGGTGTTAAAGGCGCAGTTATGTTCCGACGTTATCGAAGAAATTACTCCAATTACTTTTTACATCCGGGTTGCACGGTTTCAGCTGTTCATTTATCAAGCTAATGTGAGCTAGCCGCCTTGTTGTTCCCGTCATTAGTTCCATCTTAGAAGAAACAGAAGCTTTTCAGTCGGGAAACTTGATAACAACTGCCAAGGTATGTTTACAGTTCATGGTGTTGTCGGGAAAGCTAGATATAAGTAGGTATAAGTACAACTTAACCTTTCTTCCTACAGGAAAAAGTGCCCAAGTTAACAGATAGCTAGCTGCCTTGCTAACTTAGCCTGCCGGCCGTAAACAGCTGCTTGCTAACGACGCTAGCTTGGAAGCTAACGTTAATGTTATCACTTGGTATGTTTTACTATTAAGGGATGACTCGGTCGCCGGTTTACCTCAAGACATTTGACATCTTGCGAGTGTTTAACGCTAGCTGCCTTCAGTTGCAGTGGAAAAAGTTTACATTTCTATTTTTAATTGGTCATTTACTTTCTCCCGATAATGTGACTTGTGAGAGGACAGCCACATCCCATTTGCTGGGATCGTGATCTTTTTCAAATCAAAAGGAGGAAGTTGGGTTAGCACAACAACTGGGTTAAAATTGTTGTAGTTCTCTGTCAACTTATTTTTTTTTAATCACAGTCCTAAACTGTAGCTAGCCTATAGACTGTATTCAAAAAGAGCAACCCAATTGCTCTCTGGTTTTTGAGTTTGTCACCGTTGCAACTTACGGTAGGAAAAAAAAAAGATGGGTCTAACGTAACTTTGACTTAAAGGACGCTTCAAATCGTATGAAATCAGAGCAAAGAGCATCACATTTATGTCAACCTTCTTTTACCTGTTTCTGACTGTCTGCCATTTGTGTGCTTTAATAATAGGCAGGATATTCTAGGTTTTATGGAGTAAGAATGGACTCCATTTACAGTTCTGCTGAAAGCTAAGATAAACTAATGCAGGCTGGACCCAGACAGCTTTACAGCACAGACAGTTTTCTCCTAGAGCTGGAGGCCACAGAACTAACACTGTGGTTTTATAAATGAAACTGGATGTTGGACCTGTGTTGGCTGTTATTTATTTCCTTTAGTTGCCTAATATACCTAAAACAGCTTTAACATGAACATTACAACCTTCATGAAGGCAGAATTTTAAGCAGAGCTGTTGTCTCTGATTGCATCAGTTTTTGATGTTTGGAAGTAACTGTTTTCAATAAACTAACAACAGAGTACATCACAACATGACTATGTTATCCAGAATTATTTCAAAAGTTAACTTTTTCAAATAAGTTAACATTTAAGCAGATCTCTCATTTTATTTTCCAGGTTCTCTAAAGTCTGTGGCCACAATGCATAGACAATGATAATTACGTCTCATACAAGGGATGTGGATGGGAGACTTCCTGCTAATAGCTAACTGCAATTACAAGTTATCTCTTGGCAAGTCCCTGGAGCAGCGCAACTTTTGCCATTTCACCATATAATCCATCATGTCACTACAAAAAGAATCAGGGAACCGAGGGAAAGATCGAGAGAGGGGGGCCCGTCCCAAAGTGAGACAGAGCCGGTCAGAGGAAAGACGAGATACAGGCGTTGGACGGAAAGGCGGAAAGGGGAAGAAAAAAGGCCTTGCCTGCCATGAACCAGCTGCTGAGCGGCCTGTCAGTGATGGCTTTGAGTATGGTGAGCTGTTAAGTGACCTAGAAACCAGGGACCAATCTTCCTCTTCTCCTCTGAAGGAGAGTTGGAGATGGCAGGGTTTGGAAGTCGCTGCCTCTTTACTAGGGCAAGAACGGGTAACAGCCAGGCCAGGGCTGGGAACAGTCAGCTCTGTCAGTGAGTTACCTGCAACAAGTGATGGTGAGAGCAGGGGGTCAAGCAGCAGTCGCACTCTCCGGCAAAAAATCCAAGATGCAATGGGGCAGTGTTTTCCAATAAAGACGCACAGTGCAGCAGCACCAACACCACCTCCACAGGCTCTTTCATCATCAACCGCCTGTGCCTCCTCAAGGCGGAAGATCCATCTCAGTGAGCTGATGTTGGATGACTGCCCTTTCCCCGTAGGATCAGAGCTGGCTCAGAAGTGGTATCTCATAAAGCAACACACAGCCCCCATTACCCAGCCTCCCATGCTGGATTCTGCAGTAGTGTGCAGTGCTCCAACTTCAGCCATGGCTACTGTGGTGGAGGATGTAGATGACAGGTTGCGAGAGCGCAGGCGCATTAGCATTGAACAAGGTGTTGAACCACCACCCAATGCAGAAATCCACACATTTGAGGTGACGGCCCAAATTAACCCTCTCTACAAGCATGGCCCTAAGCTGGCTCATGGTATGAATGAGTTAGCCGGGGCTGAGAGAGCCCCTGCTCATCAGCAACAGCAGCTTCTTTTCCAAAGACAGCAGCAGCACCACCAGCTGCTACTACAGAGTTGTTTGGACACTCTGGATGAAGTGGTGGCCTCAGCCTCAGCCTCAGCCTCAGCCACAGCCTCAGCCTCAGCCTCAGCCTCAGCATCAGCATCAACACGGTAGGCAGCATCCGCCTCAGCATCCGCCTCAGCATCCGCCTCTGTCCACACCTGTGATACTATCTCTGACCCTCTGGTTGACCCAGAGGTTACAGTGACCAACATGCCCTCTAGAGCCATACTTCCTCAGACTGAGCATCACAAATCTCAAGATGGCTACCGCATTCACACTCAAATTGATTACATTCACTGTTTAGTTCCAGACCTGCTGCAGATTACCAACCTCCCATGTTACTGGGGGGTCATGGACCGCTACGAGGCAGAGACGCTGCTGGAGGGAAAGCCCGAAGGCACCTTTCTCCTGCGTGACTCTGCCCAGGAAGACTACCTCTTCTCCGTTAGCTTCCGCCGCTACGGCCGCTCACTACATGCACGCATTGAACAGTGGAATCACAATTTTAGCTTTGACGTGCACGATCCAAGTGTCTTCCACGCTTCCACAGTTACAGGATTGCTGGAGCACTACAAGGACCCCAACTCATGCATGTTTTTTGAGCCACTGCTGTCTAACCCCATCCACCGCACACAGCCCTTCAGCCTGCAACACATCTGCAGAGCGGTCATAAGCAGCTGCACCACCTATGATGGCATTAACATGCTTCCCATTCCAAATGCTTTGAAAAAGCACCTGAAAGAATACCACTATAAGCAGAGAGTACGTGTACGGAGAATGGATACCTGGTGGGAATGAAGAACAACAACCGACTAAAAGAAACTACTAAATATATTTTTAATGCAAGTCTCTCATAACTGAACTGAACAATGAGACTTGCTTCACTCTATCTGGCTGTATTAACCTACACTGCACTGTACTTATTTATTTTATTCCTGCTGTACATGTCTTAACAATTGTACTGAACTACACTGATGAGACAATATGTAATCTAACTGATCTTGCACAGTACAAGTTCTTTATGCTCAAATTAAACAAACTTATTTTGATATGTGGTGTTCATAGAGCTACCTTCACACATCATTTGTGTTTTCAGCCGTGACTAAGCTTAATTATCTGACGATGGGGGGGAAGTGTCTCGGTGTGAATCAAGATGATTATAATAATAGAGTTGTTCATCAGTCACGTGCTGAGAAGGTGGAATACATACTGACAAAGTTTCCAACTTGTTACTTAGGTGTGGAACTGCAGCACGTCTGCTGTATTAATCATTGGCTCCCACATTGAACCAAGAGCTGATTATAAGGGGTGAGAGGTAGGTGCATGTGCTACCTGCTCTCATTAAAAAGCAGAAGTCTTGTTCTAGAAAATATATTTGTCACACACTGCTCACATTCATTTTCAAAGTGGTGGTTTCATTGCAGGGTACCATGCAAAGAATGATATTACACATCTAAATGAATGCCATACGCTCAGGTAATACATCATTCAGCTGCTTTGTTTTCACCCCACATCATCATCTGTGGTATGTCCTATGGGGTTAAATTGCATGCCGCCAGTGCCAACAGTCTTCATTAGTTTTGAAGTAAAGGATCAAATGTAACCTTCACAAACTGGTGAAGGTCACAGGTGAAGCTGCTGTATTACCAGAATTCAAATGATTAAGGCCAGACATCAATGGACATTATTTTGCTCAAACACTGACTTCTGTGATGTGCAGTTCCAAATCTACTCTTACTTAGTCCAGAGGTTTGGTCAGGCTGTTTTTTATTCTGCGTGTAATTGCAGTAAAAAAAATGTATCTTGCTTCTCTACTTCCTGCTGTGCATATTTTAAAGAGGTGGGGTGTCTACACACTAATCTTTCATTCCAGCAGTTAAGTGACAAAATTACCGTAGTGAATTAGCACTGATGAATCTTAATTAACAGGAAAAATGATGGGAGAAGGAATGTATTTTGAGGTTTTTCTGGAGCTTGACATTAAGCCAGTTACAGCGACAAAAACCTGCAAGCTTTGTAAAGATGAATCAGTCCTAAGCAAAAAAGGCACAGAGGAGAGGTAATGATCAAAATGCACTATATGAACCTAAATCAAGGAGCAAATGCCCAAAGACAGTGTATGGGAGTCCAGGGTATAGTGCACTGTATAGTACATGATATATACCTACATGCTCAAAAAACATTTGCAAATTAACAAAATATAAAATACAAAAATACATCTCTTAAAACTCTTAAATGGCAGACAAGAAACATCAGTATGTTTGAATGTACAAATAAAATGAATGACTATACCACAAAAGAAAAAAAAACCATGCTAGACAGACTTTCATTTATCTTATTATCTAGGACTTATTCAAAGATTAATTACAAAATTTACCTATGCAGTAGAGTCATTTCACTGCTGTGTGTGAGCAGCATTTTGTATTAATGAAACCACACAAGAGACCACACAGCTAATTGTTGTATGCAGTAAGTAATAATCACGTAAGACAACCGTCCCAGTGTTAATGGGAAAGCATGGAGAATGGATCCCAGTTCATCTTCTGAACCACTGTGATGCTGCTTTCTCCTTGAGATGGGCGATTTGACACGCTGGATGCAAATCGTTCATGACAAGCACTCATCCACTAATGAAGCCGCTATAATTTAAACAGCAGATCCAAGGCAGCATTGAAGTCTGCATTCAAAATGCAAAGTCTGGACCTTTGACATTTGTATACTTAATTAAGTCACTATAAAAACGAAACTATAAAATAAGATTTACTGCATTGGAAGACATTTGACCTGTCATGCATACACAAGTGTGGCCTACACTATGAACTCTCTACACATGCAATTTCAGTCCCTTGACAGCTCAAGGCTGTTGTCTTATATCTCCCACCACCATCTAGTATTCCTGGCAAGTAAGAATAAAATGTGTTTTTGTGTCTGGGCCACATTTTAATGTTTGTTTATTAGGTTTATTTTATAGATCCCACCTTTCCTAAATGGCACACTTCTAATCAATGATTTACAATTGAGTCTTCGTGCACAGCAGGTCAACTGAACATAGAGAAATGTTAAATTTAAGCATACAATCAAACATATGGAGGACAAAGTGATTTGATAATAAATCAACAATGAATTAATATGTAGTTTGGTCTCTTCTAGAGAATTCCTCTGGAAAGCAACAGTTTATAGACTCAACACCACTACCTAAACTGTCTTGGATTTTGTACAATGATATATGATATTATGAGGAAATTACTTATAAAATAGTGTGTTACCAATTCAATATGCAATTAAGATTAGATAAGATCGTCCTTTATTAGTCCCACAGTGGGGAAATTTGCAATTAGATAAATCATTAATTATTCACATTAGCTATTTATTTATGTTAACAAAACAGCACATACAGATTAATAGCTTTTCATTTAATATACTGTGTCCATGCAAAAATGCTGTATTACATGAAGCACAGCAGGTGGCTGTAAAGAGCTTCAGTGTGTTTTACACTGGCTGCTCTCAGGCCTGTTTGTGCTCTGTGTGTGGTGCCTTGTAATGGTGGGATTGAGTGTGGCTGCTGCAGCTGGCAGCTCTGTGGCACTCATCATGCAGGTATTACAGGTCCTGGGGGGAAAAAGAGGACTTTTCTTTGCCTGGATCAACGGGCCCAGAGGGCCAGCATGCTCAAGCAAAGCAGAAAGCTGATTGGCTACACATACTTAGTGCGTTTGTGCCTCTTTGGACGTCTTTTTTTCCCTCTCTACCATTGAGGGAAGAGATTTTCCTCTGAGCCTAATCTCTACAGTTGAGCATCATGGGGGTGGAGAATAAGCTTGGGATGTTCATAACACCTGGGGACAATTACTTTCTCAAATAATCTGCCGGTCATAATCTAACAAATGCCCTAAAAGGGCTCAACTTGGCACAGACTTGTCTTATTTGAGACTGAAAATGTTTACAGCGAAAGTGTCTCTTCGTAGGTCTATGCTTTTGGCTGCTGCATGTAGACCCATATAGATTGATAACTACCATGAGTTGTAGTGTGAATCTAGGCCATTAATTCAGGGTTGGGCTTATCAAACTTATTTTAAAGTTCTTGCAAGATGCATGCAGCTAGACATGATTCTTCTTATCCACCCAGACAGGAGGAATACATTTCTATGGCAGAGGAAACACTGCAGCTGGGAGGGAGTTATTTTTGGTCAGTAAATGAATCCAGCTGAATTTCAGTCTTGAACATTAGCAGGAACATTCTTGCCTATCAAGCCATACCTTTTCAAATAGAGCACTTCATTCCTGAGTTATTAAAGTTTCAGTTCTTAAAAGTCTTGCTATTCCCCCCCTTAGGTGGTACATTGTCACCCAGTGTCATGCTCACGTTTGATGTTTGCTTCCCTGGAAGCAAGCCTTTGACAACACAGTATTTCCTTTCCCTCCTATTTAAAATCTAAATCCACTCCACTTCTCTCAGGCATGTAGTAACTCATATGAAGCTTTTTCTTCACAAAAACATCAGTATTGTAATTTGGAGCTGCCTGTGTTCTTCCTGTGCAATCTCTTGCTGCCTCTGTTTTTTACCTCCTCTGCACTGACAGGTTGTTGATGGAATAATGGAGGTGTTGGGCATGCTACCGCTAAACCAGTGACACAACACAGATTGATGGGATAGTAGTGTAAATGACACACAGCAGCCCATATCCCAGGCTTCAGCCCATGAAGTCATTAACCAGCAGCCTGGAAATAATACAGGAACATACTGTGGACAGATAATAATGTTTGATTATATATGAAGCTTTGCAAATTAACATATCCTGTAATTTGATATATGTTGTTGTAATATGTATCATGATTTGTTTGTACATACAGACTGTAATGGAGCTACAGATAACACAGATATAATTATAGATAAGCATCGTTTGCTTTGAGAAGAATGGTTAATTATAATAAGCCTTCACAATGACTCCTAAAAACACCCATGCATCATTGATACAAGGAAGGGAAACATTTATAATTGCATAAATGATAAATTAAACTACATAACTCCTGCTCCCCATGAGTAATTATGCTGTTGTTGCAACAGTTGCATTGTCCAGTGTGTTATAGTGAAAAATTACAAATGGAAAAAGAAATGTGCAGACCTCGCTAGCTAGTTATTGTAAGAGCCATTCCTCACAATGGGCACCTTTTGGACCCATTGATATTTCCAGGTATACATTTTCCATCCTTTCAACATTTTGTCACAGAGTGGATGAGTTTCATTTGCAGGGGAGTATGTTGCTGGAGCACAGGCAACTAAATTATCTGGACTCTAAGCAAATCAGACAAACCATAACATATCCACTTTTTTACCACCGTGCACACAATTGTCATGCAAATGAATTGTTGTTTACTGCCATAGTATGTCAGTAAGTGTTTGATAATGCACCTTTGTACTCTGTTAAAGTGAATGCATTTTCTTGGGAACCAGGTTGAGATGTACAGTAGTTTTTTGAGTCACATAGTATAATGTTATTTTCATATCCCATTTATACAATCTAGGTGTCTTTTACAATAGCTCATAGTTAAATGTAAGCCATGACAGCATGCACATGGGAGTAGAGCAGCTAAATGGATCTAAACCACCATTAGTTTTACTACTTAAACCTGTGATTTTCCTTTTGTGATATGTCAAAATGTCTTTGGTGAAGAAAGCCTTTTATAATAATTTTTGTGTCACAGGTAAATCATGTAATGACAAGTCTGTATTGTTTTTGTCAAGTAAAGCAAGTGACTATGATGTTTTGGTTATTTTTTCAATTCACATTGCATTTCCATGCATTCAAGTATGAATGTGAGTTATTCTTCTTTTCATACTGTATGTTTATCATCAATATTCATTGCCTCATTTAGCATTTCTGATTGTTTTTATAACCAAATGTCAATCATGAAACTGTACGAGCAGCAGGCTGTAACTGCAATATTCTATTGGTTTGGTTTATCATAAAACACTATTTTAGTATTTCTTTACTAGGCCTACACAGCATACTTAAAAAATATACACATCACAAATAACACAAATATCAAAAACATATTTGCACCATGACCTCATGACATCATGAATTTCCCTTCAGGGGATAACTAAAGTATCTATCTATCTATCTATCTATCTATCTATCTATCTATCTATCTATCTATCTATCTATCTATCTATCTATCTATCTATCTATCTATCTATCATCATTGGCACCTGTCTGCATCAATATGCCATTTACCCTGTACTTCTGTATCTGTATTTCTATGAAGACAGTTCTAGCCTCTTCACAGACTTTCCTATACAATTAAAACGGAAACTATCATCTTGCTCATATTGTATGCTACAAATAATTTATGAATATAATATTATATATCATGGTTTAAAATAATTGGATATAAAATAGGACTAATAAATAATAATATTATGTAATTAAATTATCTGCTGTTATTAGCTGGTGGAGGAGAACAGGATTCTCGTATCTTGAGATACGTTACTTCCGGCTGCCATCTTTTGGCGAAACAGGTTAAAAAATGTTGTTTGTGCACCCCAGGGGGAATGTTTTTGTAACAACTCGACGGGGGACCCTTTGTCATGTCTGGAGATGTCCTCAAAAAGCGGTAGGTGTTGTGAAATATCCTGCTGGGGTTTTGAAATTTTGGGCTGTAATTAAATTTGTGAAAAACAGATGCTAGCTCTGTGTCTTGAGCTAACTGCAG